ACCTTGGCAGTTAAAGAGATTGCTGTGAGGAGTGTTTCACAATTTCCCTTTTTACAGCGCCCACGAAATGCACAAGTCATTTTTTTTGTTGTTACTTTGTGTCTGTGAGCCATTTATCTGCTCTCTTTCACTTATTAGTGTCTGTATATCACAAGATGCATTTTAAACTATTTAACTATACTCCAGACCTCAATACTCAACATCCTGTCTGTTGAGACACCAGATTGGGCCGATGCAGGTTATTCCCTCATAACTTTGCCTCGATATAAAGTTCCCAAATCTTCTTTATGACGCATCAATGCACATATAGTCTACACAATAGAATGAAATGTATTTAAATGCTGCTTTTGTGCTTTTACAGTAATGTTCTTCCATATAGGGTGCTGTTAGCGTGCTACAGGAAGCCTCCTCCGCCGTTTTATTTTTGTTTTTTCAGCTGAATCCTTTCAAATCCCCCTTCAGTACCTCCCGGACAAATCATTTTGAGTTTAGGTATTGTTCTCACCAATCTGTGTGATCAAAGAACAAGGGGAAGGCTTTTATAAGTGTAAAAGCATTGAATTATACATAACTATGAAAACTCAACACACTCACACAAAGCCCTTCTCTAATTTGAGTCCCTGATTCTGAGTGGGCTCTCGTGTGCGTCAGAGACTGATGAAAGCTTCTCATTTTCAAGACGGGTCAGAAGATGGAGCGAGGCCTGAATGCTATCAAAGGGACCGACATGACCTCTGGGAGCAGAAGCACCAGTGCTGTCTGCCTCTCTACAAGCTCCCTTTAATCTCACACCGCTCTCCACAAGCACTTGGTTATCTAGTGAGTGAAAGAGAAAGAAAAAGAGCTTCTCATTTTTTATCTCTTTAAAAGAAAAAATATTGCGCCCTCATACACTCCTCTCCGTTTTTCTGAGGATGAAGGAAAGGAGTCAGTAGAAGATGGAAACATAAAAGGTCTGTCTCGATGGGAAAAAAAAGGGAGAGAAAGGGCTCATCATTTTGCCCTGCTTTTCTTCTCGCGGTGCTATGAAAGAGAGATGAAATCAGACGGCTGTCAGGTAAAAGGAGAGTAAAACATTTGCCTCGCTGCTGAAATGGACCGAGAGGAGTATGGTAGAGAGCCTGCATTACTTCTCCTTCACAGCAAAAGCTCTCGACTGTCAAGAGAACAAAAAACATCTTCCATCAGGATTTCTACAGGCCGAGTCTGTGGTTGGAAGCGTTTTACTGCAGCACAGTCAGCTTTCAGCAGATGAGAAGAGAAAATGTTTTTTTATAAATTGGGTGTAAAAGCTCTTTGACAATGAAACATGTTTTTTGGTAATATCTCAAATTTAGGCAAATATCTTGACAATCGGTGTATCTTTTTTCATGTCAAGGTTGGATGTAAGCCACTGTCTTTCCTGAACTTCAACCTCCCTAAATTGAACCACATGTGACACAAAGCTTGATTCACCTTGTTTTGACTTGTATGCATGCTTAGCTCAGCCGTATGTCCAGAGCAGATATAAGAAATCTCCCCATATTGCATCTCTAACTACCGCGTCTCCCCACCTCTCTCTCACAGCCTTACAGCCAGCACCCCCACACGAGTGAAAATGAATGCTCTCCCCACCTGTGGGGGGAAAGGAAGACGCAGAAGAAATTGCGGTGAGTCTGTAACACAGACACTCACATTAATAGTATATATATCATGGGTAATCTATGGAAGCCTGTGCTTGGCAAAATACACAACAGAAAAAGCCAAAAGTTTAAATATCACCTGCTGGTCATTATTGGGATGCTTTTAATTTTATCCCCAAATCCTATTTCACAATCATCACTGATATCAGCACAAAGCCACAAATTCCCAAAGTAGTTTTTCTGAGGGGTGTGTGTGTGTGTGTGTGTGGGAGTGTGAGGAATGGGAGTGCTACTGAATGTGTCTCTACTGGTTCTGTGATTCAAGTGTGGCAGCAGTGTGTGTGCGTGCGTGTCTGTGTATGTGTGGTTTGGCAAACCACTCAGATCCTTAGCTGTGTCTCATCCCTCCCACCATTGCTCTCGTCAGCAGGCCTGAAACCACAAACCATCCCATCTGGAGACAAAGCCATTAACTCACACCTTTTTACTTCAGTTTGAAGATCTCCCCTTTCATACCAGTGTGAGCGGTGACCAATATATTAGTCTGTGTTAGAACCACGACATTTAACAGTTCCCATTACCAGAAATGACACCTACAATAAATACTTGATTTCTCTCAGCGGTGGCAGTTGGTCCCTCATTTTAACAAGTGAATTTACAGGCTAAACACCAAACTAGAGTTTTCATGGGTTGGATACAGTACTGAGGAATGCATTGTTTCAATCGACTACATTTACCATAAACACTGATCTGACATGCACATAAAGTAAAGGATCTGAATACTTCTTCCACCGCTGGTTGGCAGTGAAGATGCTAGCTGATTAGCTTTTTGCATTAAGTGTTATCACATGAACTTCAAAAAGTACAGTCCCTGACAAAAGTCTTGTCGCTTGGGTACAAGTTGACCTTAAGTGCCCCTCAAATATATTTGTAATCAAATTTTTTTTACAAGAAATGGCTAATTTCAATCCCAACAGCTTTTGAAATAATGTTTTGGTGCCAAACGAAACTGCTGAAAAGCATTCTAACGTTCACAGCTTGGTAAAGCCCACTGAGTCAGTTTTTTCAAAGACAAAAGTCTTGCCGCCTTGTCATATGATGCACCCAATCCTAGATTACAGCCTCACCTGTGATCAATTATTGATCAATCAATTAGTGGGTGTGTATAAAAAGAACCCCAGCACACCAGACCTTCACATCAACTGCAACTTGACCTCTGACAACATGCCTAAGATTCACCCTGAGACCAAAGCATTGATTATCAAGAGGCTGAAGACCAGATCCACTGCTGAGGTGGCTGACACCTTCAATGCGTCTCAGCGTCAAGTACAAAGAATACGAAAAAGATTTGAAGAGACTGGAGATGTTTTTGACAAGCCCAGGTCCGACAGACCCCGCAAGACAACTGCTCGGGAGGACCGTTTGTTGGCTCGAAAATCCAAGGCCAGCCCCTTTTCCACTGCAGCAGAGCTCCACCAGGCCTGGTCACCTCAAGTCCCCGTGTCAACCAGGACAGTTTGTAGAATTCTGTCTCAAAATGGCGTCCATGGTCGAATCAGTGCCCAGAAACCAGCACTAAACAAAAGGCAATTAAAAAAGCGTGTGGCATTTGCCAAGGCCCACAGCCTGCTAAAAGGATGGACGCTGGAAAAGTGGCAGAAGGTGGATTTCTCAGATGAATCTTCGGTTGAATTACATCACAGCCGCCGCAAATACTGCAGGAGACCTACTGGAGCCCGCATGGATCCGAGATTCACCCAGAAAACAGTTAAGTTTGGTGGCGGAAAAATCATGGTCTGGGGTTACATCCAGTATGGGGGTGTGCGAGAGATTTGCAGGGTGGAAGGCAATATCAATAGCCTAAAATATCAACAAGTATTAGCTACCTCTTACATTCCCAACCATAAAAGGGGTCAAATTTTGCAGCAGGATGGTGCTCCATCGCATACTTCCATCTCTACATCAAAGTTCCTCAAGGCGAAGAAGATCAAGGTGCTCCAGGACTGGCCAGCCCAGTCACCAGACATGAACATCATTGAGCATGTCTGGGGTAGAATGAAAGAGGAAGCATGGACGACGAAACCAAAGAATCTCGATGAATTCTGGGAGGCATGCAAGACTGCTTTCTTTGCTATTCCTGATGACTTCATCAATAAATTGTATGAATCATTGTCGAACCGCATGGATGCAGTCCTTCAAGCTCATGGAAGTCATACAAGATATTAAATATGGATCTCACAGCACCACTACTTAATTCACTGATGTTATGCAACATATTTTTGTATTTGAAGTAAATTATTTGTTCAATTTTCACATTACTCTCTGTAGGCGACAAAACTTTTGTCTTGCCAAAATCTGACCTGTGTTCATTAAATGATCAATCTTTCTTCAGTGAAGCAAATTTATTTTAGTATATTAAACATAATTTGGGAGGGTTTTAGCTTTCATATGAGCCATTTCTAAAACCAATGGATTAATTAAAAGTCAGGTTATAAGCTGTTTCTACAAAATGGATAAGTGACAAGACATTTGTCAGGGACTGTACATGTTTTCTGAGCTAATGTGTTTATTTTGAGTCTAAATCAAGTTTTAATTAATTTTATCCGGATACTGTTTTCCTCTTAACACGGAACTATTAGTTGCCAAAGCCCCAAAATGCTCCGGGTGTTACGATTTTCCAATTGGGTTCATATCTTGTATTTTCTTTTGTTTGGGGTGGCGGGTGGATAAGAAAAACCAGACCCGTTTCAGAAACATTACACCACTACAACATCCTACAGAGGACATGATCTCAGTGTCCTGCACGGTGATGAAACGCAGTCAGACTCGGGTCAATCACAAGGAAATGGGCCATTCTACAAAAACTGTTTTATTGATTTATTAACAACTGTACATTTCTTTTCAGTGCTGACAGCATTTGCTACATACTTTGGTGTGATTCAGAGGGCCAGCGATTATCGCTCCTTTAGATTTTTTTTTGTGGGAAATGCTGACAGGATCAGGAGCACAGTGTACAACCAGAACTATTCACCGTTTCTTACCGTCGACGTGGGAGACCGGACTTATTCATTTGTGTTTACATTTAAGTGCTGTTCCCTCAGTCCCCATGAGCATTTACATGTCTCCGCCAACCAAACATATTCCAGGAATATTGATAAGATACAAAGGGCAGAAGGATTCCAATAGCGCAGATTGAACTGTTTGAGTTGAGTCTGTAACCATGAAATCAATGGTACTTTTTCATCCAGTTTGTGCCTGCTGCAGTGATCTGCTGCCAACTGAGGTCCAAGGGTTAGGCTAAACATTAAACGTTTCCCATCTCCCATAATCCAACAAGGTAAAACAAACCGGGAGAAAGATAGCACAGACAGAGCAGTACACTTTAAAAAGGTCTTTAGTTATATATATATATGAATTAAATTTACATCCATTTCTTTTCCTGAATCAGTGTCCCGCTCCATCCCACAGTGGTCCAAACCAGCCGAGTCTCTGCCGGAGTCAGAGGACTCCACGTATCCATTGTCCGGTAAGAGCACTGTGACAAAAAGGCCTTTTAAAAATCTCCACAAAACGTCCTACTTACAAGATTCATGCTCCTCGGTTTGATTTCTGAAAAGGTCAGCCCGGAGAATGTGCTTTAAGAAAATCAAGAGTAAAATTGTTAAAAAGTTCTAATCTATGTTCTGCTTTCCCACTCAAATATCATGGCATAAGACAGAGTGGGCAAAAAAAAAGAAAATTGATCACAAGTACACCCAGGACATGAAAATATATATATTTTATAATATATATAAAGAGTCTTTTATTTAATCCGATATGTACACTTTTCACAAGACGTCTGGGGGAACGAGGTTCTCAGAAATGAAGCGCCGCTTCATCGGGTTACACCCAAATATTCTCAAGGGGGAAAAAAAGTCACAAAAAAGTGTGTAACCAAAAAATAAACCTTCCACTACAAGTACAGAAAAGCTTCTTTCCAGCACAAGCATCCTTCAGCCAAACGGCTCCATCGATCACCGCCAAATCTGTAGTTCATTTTAGCGTGTTGTAGTCCACAGACGGATGGTTGGGAGGGGAAAAGTAAAAGTCATCTCATCAGTGCTGAAGCAGGAGCCTCCTTTCTCTCTAGTAGATGACCTCGTAGACGGTGGCCTTCTTGTCACCGGATCCCGTCACGATGTATTTGTCATCTGCGGAGATGTCACAGCTCAGGACGGAGGACGACTCCTTCGACTGTGGGAGTAAGGAAGAAACTCAAGTTAGAGGACAAGCTTTCTTTATATGTGGTTGTTTTATGGAAGATGCTTAATCAGCCTAATGAATAGGGGTGAACAGGTGTGTGTATTTATCCAGAACAGTTCGGTACGCATCTTTCTTTAATAACAGTTGAATTAGCATGAATAATGTCTTTGTGATATGTTTTTAGCATGACAAAAGATTTAGCCGTCTGAATTATCTACATGATTAGTAAGACAGCGTTTTTATAATATGACCCGAGACTCTTGGGACTAATTGCTATTTTGCACGGTTTATACATACCTTTAAATTGGTTGTGAAATCACAAGAAGGTACCTTTTTTAATGTGTGTGCATGTGGTTGTTGTAGTTACCTGGAATATGCTGGCACCATAAGGAGTCCTCCATGCATTCAGCAGATTGTCCTTCCCCGTGCTCACAAACCATTTACCTGCAAACATAAAACAGACGTCTTGAGAATATATTCTGAACGTATGTATGCTGATTCTCACAGTTTTCCAAAAGTGCCAGCTGCCATCCAAACAGCTGGCTACTAAAGCCAAATTTGAATTATTAACTGCATGTATACAATTGGGTACACATCAATTAAGGTCAGTGTATATGATGGAAGAGTGGCAGTAGAATGTGCCAGAAGCCACCACATTTGGGATTTTGTCACAAAAAAATCTTTCTCGAAGAGGGGGCATCTGAACCTCCTAACTGGCTACTTTCATGGAAGATTCTGCACACACAGCGTGTCTTCTGTAGTCTGAGAAGGTTTTTACAAATCATAAAATGCTCATAATGAAGACGACTCACACCATTTCCACTCTGATAATTATTTAAATCACCCTCTGATTAATTACCCAACTGACTAGTTGGGTAATAATTTAATTAGTGGCAGCAACAGCTCTGAAGCAGTGAGTGTCATTTGAATTAACCAGTTCTGCTGTGGGGGTCTCGTGAGGAGAAATGAATACTGAGTGAGGCGAGAGTGAAACCTCATTTGTTTGAGCCTTAAACTTGACACCAGCTGGTCTGCCCAGCAGGCACAATGATCTAAACCGAAAAAGCAATGACAAATTTAATGAGCATGTTGTTATGTGCAATTCAGACTGTACAGAATGACACGTGCAACTGCGTTTTTAAACAAATTCTCACTAATAAACAGCACTTTAATCGTATATCAACCTGCAAGTGATTAAGTCACAGTTACTGAAGGTTCAGATCATTTTAACATCTACAGAAATAGTTGCTTCCTCATTTTTTGGTGCAGATAAGTTGTCTCAAACACAACTAACCAGTAAGTCTGTCCGATACTACAGATAATACTCATCTAGACTAAGAATCAGACACGGCTGTAGAAACTGGTTTCTGCCTAGATGCCAAGATTATGTTTGCAAGACAAGAGAAACAGATCTGGAGAAATCCATGTTCCCCAAATTTAACAGCAGGGCGGTATTTAGGATTTAAGGTCTGGAGTCAGATATTCCCCCAGCAAAACTCCACTCACCACTCTTTTACACTTACAGGGAAACCTTTAAATCTCCTTGCAATGGAATGCCTAAATATTTTTTTTATTATTCCCCTTAGATCTGTGTTAAGGAGCCGGTTACTTACCACAGTAGGCGAACTTGAGTGAGAGGACGCAGCTTTCGTGCAGGTGCAGCTGGTACTTGTCAGGCTTGGTGTGGTGAAGCACTTCCACGTTACTGCTCTCCATGCCCACAGCCAGCCATTCTCCAGTGGGACAGTAGCCCAACGAGAAGATCTGCACCAAGGACACAGTATTTCAACCGAGAATCACTCATTTGTGTGTCTTCCACAACACTTGAGATGTAGTTGGAAAGGGAACTTTTTTTTTTTTTTTTTTTTTAAACGGGCTTCTTCCTACCTGTGAGGTAAAGTCATGTTGCTGGAGCTGTCGGCCTTCCCTCAGATCCCAGGAGCGGACGGTGTTGTCGAGCCCTCCGGTCCACAGTTTGGTCCCGTCGTGGGAGATGTCGATGCAGCTGGCTCCATCTGTGTGGCCCTGGAACTGCCTGGAACACCCCAAGACACCAAATATCAAGTTAGAAACAAGAGGACTAAGCCTTCCATCTTGTGTTGATGGCCAACTATTCCATTTCGTCAAACACAATGAGGTGTGTATTAAAGAATGCAAGAAGCACACATACACAATGTATTTCAGTCAGTGCTTGAAACAAAACCATATTGGTAAAAATATGAATTACTGACCTAACGAGGGTCTGGTTATGGAGATCCCACACGGCAATGTTTCCATCCGAGCAGCAGGAGAAGCACACCTTGGCGTCGGGGCTGATGGCCAACGCATAGCAGGCCGGAGCAGAGGAAGTGAGCTCGGCCTTGATGCGGGGCGTCTGCGAGGCCAGGTCCCAGATGGTCAACGTGCTGGCCTCGCCACCCACTATCAGGGTGCGGCCGTCAGGCAAGAGCTTGCAGGAGCGGATATAATTGTCCCTGTTCTGGAAGAGAAACAAGTGTCATCACGATCGTGATGTAATTTAAAAATGTGAAATATCTACTTGAATAGGACAACGAGGTTAAGAACAAACTCAATTACAATTCTGTTGAGAAAAAGAGATTAGCAGCATGTCCACGTCGAGACCATCTCTACTTAAACTTCAGGGGAGCTTTTCTTTGACAAGTGAAGTTCTCAGGCTGCTGCCGTCTGTTTTTTTTGTGTTATAGTGAAGATGTGGATGTCAGCTTTAACAAGAGATGCAGGGAGAGAGTGAGGCTGCCGCTGTTGGCCAGGCTCCAAGAGAGCAGGAAGACAGATCAATAAGACTGTGGAAGCTCTTGGTCGGATTAAATCGGCACCCCGATGGCTTTATAAGACCCAATTGCACTCTGGACGCACCTTAAGGGTGTTGGGGGCCATGTGAGTTGAATGGCATGAAGCCACAGTATCAAAATGAGAAATAGGAGGCAGTTGGGAGGAAGTAATGAGCTGGGTAATGGCAGACAGGGTCAGCCAATCAGAACATCATTACTCAGCAGGCTTTTTTTTCCCACCAAGGATTATTTCAGCACAGCAGTGAGACACTTTGCTGAATTATTCACATCTCTGTCTGTTGGGATCTGGAGTCAGGCTACATTTGATGCTCAAAAAAAATCTTAATGAAGGAGGCCGATTGCAGAGACCTCATGAAATGAGTACATTATGTTTCTGTTCGGATGACTTTGAAACATCCACATTAATAATACAAATCTAAAACTCTTTAACAAACATCTCCTTGTATAAAAAACAAAACAAGATGCAAGTTACCAGGCAGTCGAGTTGGGACACTGGGCTCTTGCTGCCTGGTTGGCTGATGTCCCAGATCTTGACACAACCCTTGCCGCCGGTGTAGACGTGACGTGTGGGGTTGCTGATGGTGACAGCACACACCACTTCCCCGTGGCTCAATGTGTTGATCTGGCGAGCATGGCGCGGGATGCCCGGGCCAATCAGTGCATCTGGAGGGAAGGGCACGGGCTGCATCTGACCATCTGCACTCACGTGAAAAGAATAAGCTCTGCGGAGGACAAATGAAGGGAAATATGGTCAGTTGGAGCCTGGATGTATATGCTCTCTGTTATATAGCTGAATCCAGATACTCACGGTTTTCCTCCAGAAATGGATGTGAGGCTGGCTGGTAGGCCTGGCCTCATGTGAGGATGGGGGTCAAACCCTGCCTGCATGACCAAGAACAGCCAGGAGTTAAACAACCAATAACCTGCTAAGATTAATTAGACTAAGCTAATATTCAAATTAACATGTATGCCTCACTTTAACTGCTAACGCCCTGAGGAACTCTCGTTCTATCTTTTCCAGGCAAATCCCTTGAAAGGCGCAGACTCAGCTTCATTGCATACAGAGAAGCTTTGCACATGGCTACAACATCCCACTTGCTAATGCTAATGAAAGCCTGGGAGATTTTCAAACACGGAGAGGCATTTTATTTTAAAAGCCTTTAGAATGCTAACTAACCAACATCAAAGTAAGAGAGCTAGGCCGTCTTTGTACTTTCTCATTATATACACACACACACACACACACACACACAACAGGCTGCAGCCAGCCAAGCAGAAATATTCACAATGAGTTGTGGAAATAATGCTTAAGTTTCTCAAAGTCATTTTTGCAAACAGATTCCACAACCTGCAGCCATGGAGGATAATTCATACAGACGCTAGTGAGGGTTTGTTGTGTCAAACTGATGGAATAAATCAATATATGTGAAGAGGAGCTTCATTGGATTCATACATTCTATACAGAAGCTGAAATAGTTACAATTGGTGAGCGTCCATAGGCGGCGGCAGCAGCTGCAACGCTCATCTGCGGTGAAATGAGACCTGGATAGACGCCCGGGCTGGTCAGGGATCCGTTCATCTCGTGATGACCCATCATCGCAAACGGGGAGGCATAGGAAGCCGCAATGGACAGAGGTGTCCGCAGGGCAGGGGCAGCTAGAGAAGAGAGAAGAGCATTTTAATAGAAACTCTGCAGACGGGAGAGACGATAATAAAAAAACATTATAAAACACAGAACTATGGTTCATTACTGATCGTACAATACGATCAAAAGCTCCACAACTACTGCTAATGGATTTTTTATTTTCACGGTCATGAATCAACGCTCAATCTAATCATTATTCTATCATCAATTCATCTGCGGAGTACTTTCTTCATTGATTGTCTGGTCTATAAAATGTCACAAGATAGTGAAAAATGGCCATCACAAGTTGCTAAAGCCCGATTTGATGTCACTTAAATGCTTATGTCCGACCAGCATTCCAAAACCTAAAAGTATTATGTTTATTATCACATAATAGGAAGAAAAGCACATTAGATGCCTCTTTGGAGAAGTATAATCTCATTTTAACTCATTTTTAAGCAAAAGCAGTGAAGGTGTTTACATACCCAACGCCTCCATGCCGGGTGGTTTGCCCATTGTGAGAGGCCGTAGTCCCGGAGTGGTGCTGGTTCCTGCCGTTGGAGCCTCATTCCTCGGAGTAGGTGTGTTGGACTTCAGACTGGGTGTGGACGACTTGTCATTCTAAAACACAAATAGTCTTTAATCTCTGGGTGAAACCTTATTTAGTATCCACTTAACTGAAAGTTGTGAGTTCACTTACTCTCACTCTCAGCCACACACAAAATGAAACACACCAGTGTAAAAATAAAAATCCCCAAGTGAGTCAAAAATACCCTCATTTTCAGAGAAATCCAGAGTGGACGGCTCAAGGTAATCCAATCCAACACTGACACTTCATTACAGCCACGTGTGTGTGTGTGTGTGTGTGTGTGTGTGTGTGTGTGTGTGGTAGAAGTCAGGCTTGTTAAAAGCGACTAAACAAAACATGGTGGCCCAAACACTTCTCTCATAATTAATCCATCCATCTTTCTTTCTTTGCAGATGGAGTAAGAGGAGTGGAGGGTTTAGTCCGGTGACACACACTAATGAGGGATGGAGAGAGGCTGGGTGTCACAGATGTGGAGGGTAGTGATGTGGACAATAAGTCTCTCTTAATCCTCAGAGAAATGGTTTATGTAAAACCGATGATTGAGGATTGTTTTAGCCTGGTAAGAGAGAGCTTCGGCATTAGGAGAAAATGGGGGAGAGGATGAGGCGAAGCAAGAAAAGAGGGAGACAGCAGTTCCCTCGCTGCTGTGTCTCTGGGTTATTTACAGCCTCGGGCCAGGGAAGAAATGACCATTTATTGGGTAAGCCATAAAGGAGATTGAGAGGAGTGAGCCACAGGGTTTGATTTCCTGAGAGTGCATCTCTGCCCCTTCAAGCCCCTCGTAGCAGCCAACTGCTAAGCCTCCTACGCATTAGTCCTGCACACAGACACCCACTTCACTTGACAAATGCCCTTTAGTCTGTCACTTCACCCTCCACTGTAACTGCCCTATTTCATCTTCTGTCTAGTCTCTCGATGTGTCACTCACATGGGCGTGGTCCTTTGCTTTGGAGGACGGCGTGCTGCCCGAGGAGGCGACGGAGGCGGGGCTGTTGGGGGCAGCGTCCTTCTTCAGGACTCGTGATTTATCCAGGCCGTTTTCTGGAGGAGAGTGAGCGGGGCTGACTCGAGGGGTGGCCGGATCCTGTAGAGTTAAATGAGACAGACGGAGAGCGAGACTGAGCAAACAGAGCGGAGGAAAGCCACTGGCATGTACATGTAGGTCAAACAAACTGGGGCCTCATGTGCAAACACAGATAAATATACTTGTGCATGCTCATACTCTCCCTCACACATATACACACACTTTTCATTCACCTGTCACTCCCTTTTCTCTTTGTATTACTTTCTGCATGAATAGCAAAAGAAATACAGCAAGTAAGCACACACTCACACACAACCAATATTATGACAGACTTTTTGGCAACGCTGTGAAAGGTGTTGAGGCTTCTACAGACAAAAGAGCGCTGTGTTTAGTTTCTGCGCAGCATTCACACAGAAATGTGGCCGAGCAGCTCAGTTCAAACAAAGTCTTACTTCATTGGAAACATCCACCACCAAGTCGTCACTTTTGTCTCCGTCACTGTCCTGGAAAACAAAAGAGGGACATGCTTAACATTACTGGGAGATCACAAACAGTACAGTGAGCAAAAACCAGTGCAGTCCAATTCCTTTGAATACTAGATCAATATCAAAGACCAGATTTGTAACATCTTTTGGCGTTAGTTTATTATTATTTAAGATACTGTGTACACAAATAAAATGAGACTACGTAACACTTTATTTTACAGTTTTTATTATTTCCTAATAATTATAATGCCTTGAAAGTTTCCTGGAAAGAAGTGTGTGTAGGTTGGCTGTAATTAAAAAGGGAGGTTTTTTTATTTTAGTCGGTTGTTGATATCCAAAAGAATTTCTCTGAAAGAACTGGTCCGTTTGAACCCAAGTACATTCATATTCATTAATTATAGTAAACATTCTTCATGACGGATGAATTGTATACTCGCCTCTTGACAATGTTCAGCTGACGTGCTGCGCACTGACTAAAAGACTCAAGGAGGCGCTAGCTTAGCATTACATTGAAATTGATCAATTAGAAGTGTATCAATTAAATACTGTCTGTTATTTTTAATTAGAGCCAAATTACTGTAGGTACTCCTTTCCAGGACACTTTCTATTCAATTATTAGGAATTCAAAGACCCATAAAATAAATCACTGCCAAAACTGTGGTGGTTATATAATAAAATAAAAGGGAAATGAACTTGTTTGTTTTTATATTTTGGTTTGCTCACACTTTACTTATGTCCTCAGGATCCCACCCACAGCTAGAGTGGGAGCGCTTCAAACTGATTAGCTCGAACAATAAATCCAATAAACACTCACATATCGGCTCATGCTGTCTTTGTCGTCCACTTTACGTTTCTTGGAGTCGAGGCTGTAATCTGAAGAGCCTCGGTGCTTCTCACTCGCTGCCCGCAGGCTGTCTGATGGCGACACCGAGTTATTCTGCCAACAACAAGATGCAGCCAGACCACGTCAGTACCCTCCGAGTGTGCTGCACCTTTGCGTCTTAGCATCCTCAACATACTGCCAACATAGGCAATGTCATCTTGCTCCATTTGAACCCATCTTGACATGATATGGAGTAACAAACAGTGTGACTCTTGTAAATAAATAACATTTAGTGCAAGAGACTAAAATAAAAGAGTAAGCACTGCCCTGCCAGCATATGCCCCTCATTCAAGTGAATATGTGGGAGCTTAAATGCAGCAAGAAGAGTCGGAAAACCAAATGGTGCGTTTAAGTCCAGGCATGGCTCTGGAGCCTTTTCCTTTGTCAGAGCAGTGACAATATTGACTGTAAAGCTAAAACACACAATGCTCCTGTACTGAGCTGGACTGATTTGGGACAGAAGGTGCAGAAGAGGATTCTGGGACAGCTTAGTCCTGCTGTTGCTGCTGCTGCCAAGGCAGCGGAGCAAGGAGGAAACAGAACTAGGCAGCTGAGCAAACCCACAAAACGCCTCTGGAAGACAAAGGCATGAACTCGCAAGCGAGGGGATACGTAGGACAGATTGAGGAGAGGTGGAGAGAAAATGTGAGGTGGGAGCAGAGTGCAGCATGGGATATTTGGTACACACACACACACACACACACACACACACACAGACATCTAATCCTCTTGAAGACCCTCATAGTGACCTGGTCAGGGACACGCTTGAGGCTACATTAACAATTCAAACCAAACACAGCTTACATTCCTGACTTTATGTTCGTCTGTGACATGCAAGTACATGCAAATAAAAACAAAAGTGACCAAAATATCTCATGGTGTAACTGTAAAACCCACACTTATGACTGCTGGAGAGACCATGAGTGTGGGCGTGTGTGTGTGCTGTTGCAGGTCGGTGACTAAATGGCAGAAAATGACAGCAAAGTTCATGGAAATCAACCAGAAGGAAAAAAAAGAGGAAGAAAAGAAAGAGGCCATTGAGGGAACCAGGACAAGAGTGCAATGTGAAGACACAGAGAGGGTGTTGCCAGCAGAGAAAAGACCCATGAAAGAGGCAGAGTGAGAAAATAAGAAAAAGAAAGAAAAAGAAAAAAATAAGAGGAAGAAAGACAAGAGAGCAAAACAGGAAAGGAACTTGGCAAGCAATGAGAGCGTAGCAGTGTGGCAATGAGCTCTCCCCACTAGTGGAAATGCCTTGACAGGCTGGCACTCTCTCAGAAGCTGCAAACGGGGTTTTTGTAGTCTGGGCACTGGTGGGGGGGTGGGGGGTGCACTGCTAAACAGGCCGACAGGCAAGGAGGGAGGCCGGCCGACGCTGGCAGACAGCACAACAAATCCCTGCCTCCATCAGAAACTGACAGAGATGGTGAAAGAGGGAGAAGGAAGATGTCTGACTTCTTGACTGCAAATGACAGGAAGAGAAAGACAAGCAGCAGAGAAAGGTAACAGCTTGAGTGAAAGGACGACTTTCTGAAGCCGAGTAAAGTGCGACGTTAAAAAAACAAAAAACAAAAAACAAAACACTGAGGTTGGACAGTTAATTGCACACTTTCTGCCAATTCCATATCCCTTCTTGTCAGGTCAGAATATGGAAATGTGTTCAGCTACTGCTGTGGAAAAGAAAGCCACACAGAGAGTTTGGTGTGAAGATGCTTTCTGACTCCTACAGCGCTACAGCCTGTCTGTGTGTCTGAGCCTGTGACCTTTAAAGGATTGCTTAGACTCAATAACCCTGCAGTTGCCTCCAGCTCTGGTATCAGATGACCTGAGACAACATTACAGGAAGACGCTGTGTGTGTGTGTGTGTGTGTGTGTGTGTGTGTGTGTGTGTGTGTGTGTGTGTGGGGAAAGAAGAGATGGGGGAGGGTGGTGAGGAGATCAGGTAAGGCAGTATTGGCAGCCGTCTCGTCACCATACGAGATAGGGGACGAGTTTGGGTTCCCTTCAGACATGAGTGGTCCCATTCAGGATGGCCAGTCAATGGGAACTCAATCTGGCCGAGCAGATCCAACAGAGCGTTACGCTCCAGCTAACAGAGAGCTTTAAGCCAGTCCAATAAACAAGGACTTTAACATGAGAAGGAGGAGAGAGATAGCGAGAGACAGGGAGGGGAGAAGCGGTGGAAAGGAGTAAATGAGTGAGATAAGAAGAGAAGAAGAGAGAGCAGAAAATAAAGAAAGTATATGTGAAAAGGAAAAGAGGAAGGTAGATAAAAGGAGTCGAGTACTGGACACATGCAACACTCTAAAGTGGTGAGCGAAGAAGAGAAGGAGAGTCAAAGTCGCTTTTAATTGTGCTGAAATTAAAGGAGGTAGCTGACTACTAATCCTCGCCCAGTGATTGGAGTCATTTTCCACCTGGATTAGATGGCACTGGCTTATTTGGCCAAACTTCATTATAACCCCCCCACCCAACCCTGCACAGAGTACAAAAATGTGTGTCTTCCTACACAGAGAGCACGAATTTCTATTGAACAGTGGGCTTAAGTCTAGGTAAAGCACACCTAATCACCAAACACGGTGAGCCAGAGACGGGCAAAGTCAAGACACAAAGGAGAAGGAGAGTCAACGTACCGTGCTCGACTCGCGCTCTTTCAGAGGATTGGCCAGAGGCAAGTGAAAAGATGAGGGGCCAGGAGAGAGACAAGCAAAACACAAATTAGTATGGGTGTCACCACGACTCAGCACTCGTAGCAGATAACAGGTATTCAATTATTATTCAGCTAAAAGATTACTCTCATGTCTGCGACGCTGCAATTTTTGCAACACTTTCTAATGAGTTGCTTTTAATAAAAAGGTTCATAAGTTGTAACCAATAGGTTTTTGTTAATGCTTAAATTCTTTATCGATGCTTTATGAATCAATTATAAGTCATTATTGAGCATCTTAGACTTTAGGTTGTGCAAAAAAACAACAACAATTACATAAATGACTTGTAACTGATCTATAAAGCATTAATAATTATAAAGCCATACGTTACAACTTATAAACCCTTCACATAAGGTGAGATATTATAAAGTATAGCTTGATTTCTAATAACACAGAAGGTACAGAAGGTAGTTATTATTTTTTTATTAGACCAATCACCTGCAACATCTGGACTGAATCTTTCTACACTGTAGTGTTTCCTGTTAGTGCAAACTAAATGTGTATGTCCTCAGTGGTAAGGCCAAGAAATGCACTAAAACCTGTAGGAATATTTCCTACAACAGTATATAAACATTTGCATTTTCAAACATGTTTCTATGATAAATATATCCGGCTGGTAAAAGTAGTTCTTGGCCAAAACAATCGTCCATCATTTCTAAAATGCTGCAGGTGGTGTGTGCGTGCGCGATCCTCACCTCGGTGCTCCAGGTCGTGGTGGTTCTTCTCATCCTTTACAGGCAGGTGGGCCTGGCTGCCAAGAGCACCCAGAGCCAGCAGGCCGGCGCCAGCGCCCGTCACCGGGGGCATGCCGGGCGGCTGCAGGCCTGAGGGGTGAGGGGGCAGCTGGACGGGGGGGCCGTGAGCCGCGTGAGAGAGGTGCTGAGCCTGAAGCTGCTGCTGCTGTAAACAAACGCAGGGAGACAAGACAGAGGACAAGTGGGTCGGCTGGGAAGTGTATCCATGAATGACCGCACTCTACTCATGCATTAGAGCTGGCTTTGACAACATTTAGTTCAAGGCCAAACCATTTATGCATAATAGCAGACCGACGGTGACTGCCAACATGCTGATCCAGCTCATTCACTGTCTGAGGGGAAAACCGATTCTGTTCATAGCTGTAGATGCACAGCACGGTTATGTCTGGTTGAAAGTGTTGGGTAACTGAAACAGAATTTATTACTACTTTATCTTTGGCTGTGCAGTTTCATCCCGAGACAGACCACCGCTTCCATAATGAGGCAGCTGTATGTCACATTTTAAAGACACGATCTAGCCGATTTATCACATTACACTCAAAGAATCAACGTGTGCCAAGACAGCAGTGCAGAGTAGGGCTGTGATGTCTTCAAATCATTGGTTTTGTGTTACCAACAATCTAAAACAAATATATTCTATTTAGAAAAAGATATAAAAACAAAGAAAAGCGGCAAATCAGGAGGAGCTTTAACCAGAGAACACTTGACGTTATAGCTTGACAAATCAAAATCAGAATTGCTGTTGATTTATTTTCTGTCTGAATCAGCTCCGCGCACGACTGAGCTGTTCTTGAGGGTCTCCAGGTGCATTTTACAGACCTGGTACTCTTTTCACACCATGAACTTCACTTATTATGACCCTGCTGCGCCGTTTTAAAAAGTGCTTATAATTTCTTATTATCGTACGAGACCTTTATGTGACAACTATGTTCAGCTCGACAACACGTCACCTCTGGTCGTCGGCGATGATACAGAGCGTTTTCTTGCTCTCTCCCAAACCAGCGTGCCTCAATCACAGTTGGGTCGCTTAAAAATCAATAGTTCTACACTTGAAAACCTTTCAACACTCTGGGAAACGAAGCAAACATGCCTGCTCCTCCAGCAAAATGCTGTTAAGCACAGACACAGTGGAGAACACACACACACTTCCCAAGAGGCCGCGGATGTCTGTGTGAGAGAGGCAGCCGGAGAGGAGAGAGTAGATCGACAGGAGTTAAATAGCCACTCAGGCAAGAGGGAAGCAAGTGCTTTAAAACAAGGTTAAATAACACTTAGCACATCCATCAACTGCCTCAAAAAAAAAAAAAAAAAAAAAAAAAAAAAAGCGAGAGGGGGGGGCAGCCAAAACAAGAAACGGAGGGAGAGGCAGAATCAGAAATAACAAGAGAATGAAAGGGAGAGAGAGGGATTGAGTCAGGGACGTCCCTATTGAGTGTGTCTAATGAGGAAAAGCGTGCAGGGATCATTATCAAGAAGCCTCATTAACGAGCTATGGCTGAGGAGAGGAGCGAGGAGAGACGAGGGAGGGTTGTGGTGAGGGAGAGGGAGAGAGAGAGAGAGAGAGAGAGAGCGAGAGAGAGAAAGAAGGCAAAAAAATTCAGAAAATAAATTGCTTCCAATTCAATATTCATGGATAAAGAGCTGGCTTCCTTTCACACTTATCTTTTTTCATTATGTGTAAATGCCGCCACAGCTCAGGCAACTTCCACAGGAAACAGGCAATTAAAGTTAACTAGGCGAAGCTGGCTCCCAGCAGAACAGTACTGTCAGGTGGAACAAGCGTCAACAGCACCAGCACAAACCAGCTGGCAGACTGGGCTTAATAAGTCTGGCAATGAGCGCCGCGTTACCTACTTATCCCGTGCTTTACGACAGCTTCTGTGGATCATCATATTTTCTTCAGATGTCGCGACAACGATTAGACTACATCCTTCGCTAAAGGATTGAGATTCTGGAAAAATGTTTTTTGAGGCTAGAAATAACATCAAATCTGAGACACCTGAGAGAGGCAGACAAAGGACAGGATGCCAAAAATATCCAAAACACACCCAAGACATGCGTCGTCTCCAAAAAGACACCAGCCCCACCTTCACAAAGACACATGTTAGACTGCCGGCAAGCAATGGAAAACACTTGGTAAAGACAGATTGTTTCTCTATGTTTGTTAACCTGAACACTGACCATGAAGGCTGGGTAGACACTATGAGGCGGCTGCTGCTGCTGAGTCAAAGGAGAGAGGAAGAGGAAAGGTTCAGCCAGAAATGATACAAGCAACACAACTGAAGAGGACAATAAAAATTTTCCACAGTGCAAGGTGACGTCTTCAAATTGCTGGTTTTGTGCAATCAGCAGTCCAAAATACCAAAGTAGTAACGAAAACCATCAATTATTCACATTTATGACATTTTAGCTTTAAATAGACTCAATCATTCAATTATCAAAATAGTGAACATATTTTCTGTTGATTAAAGATACAGAGGAAGATACAAAGCTCGCAATTTGTTACAACTGCAAGTCCAAAATAAGATGCAAACATTTGGAACAACGAACGTATTTAGACATATTATATTGTAATTCATTCCCATCATGCTGCTCAGAATAATCAGTGACCGGCTCGTCCTCAGACAGCACGGAGCTAAATAGCTAACGTTAACAGAGGTTGTATTGAGGTGCGCGAGTATTGGCCGAAGGTAAATTATAACTATCACAATGTAATCTTGTAATATTTAGGTTTTGGCGAGGTTTGAAGATGTTTTTACAGCAATATGATACAGATATGAGAGGAAATTATGACATGTGTTATGCAAATAATCACTGTAGATGACAAAAGCAAAATAAAATAACATTTTGTTTTTAAAAATTGGAATCAACCAAGAAAACTACAATCAGTGCATCTCTACTGTTGATCAACTAATTGATTAATGAACTAATCATTTCCTGTAATTGAAATCAATACTTTAATACAACAGTAAGCTTGATTCATTATCTAATGCCTCTCATAATAAAGCGGGTGATCCCAGGCTAATGTCTTATTGTTAGATAACATCAAATAAAAACAAAAAAAGGACCAGCTAAGAAAGAAACAATATGCTAGCTCCATGTAACAGACCTCAATGTGTGGATGCTGATAAGTCACACCATGTGTACATGTGCAGACTCTTACTTTATACAAAGCCTACACACTCAAACTGGATGAAAATATGACTGCTTTTAATAAAGTAAATATACACATGCAAATGAAACATGCAAACTTGTGACAGAGGAGATCACTATTGGCAAAAAAAAACAAAAGAACCAGGCAGTGTAACTTTACATTGGTTGTTCCACAAAATTTGAATAAGGTGATAAGCAGCACACCACCTGTAACTGACTCGTTAAACATTATCAGGGTACAATCTTTGCCACAGTTGACATCATGGAGAGGAGTGTGATAGAAAGCACCTCTGTCAAATCACACCCAAATCATGCGTCGCCTCATGCAAAACATACTGTAGCACGGACGAAACTAGTTTGCATCTTTGTCTTTACGCAGTTCAACCCACTCAAGTTGTAGGTAACTTGTGTTTTTGCAGTTTAAGATGATGGAAGCAATTAACATTTACAAAAGGCATCATATTATACTGTAGAGTATCTACTGGTTTACTCTGAGTTCACAGGTCTTTATACAGCCAGCAGTCAGACATCACATCATCAGGTGAATCGACTTTCACTTTGGTGAAATACAGGTGGACCTTTATAGAAAATATGCTGCATTTTAAACTAATAAAACATATTTTTTATAAAAATTAAAAAAAAAAGGATTAGGGCTGTAACAAATAATATAATCATTTTCAATCAATACATCCTTCCAGTCTATTAAAAATCGTAATGAATGTCCATCTTATGTCCCAGAAGTCCCCTGACATCAGTTAACTCCAGCTGGGTTAGGAGACTGTTGGGTGTTTGGGGGACTTTAATATAATGTGTATATATATATATATTGCATCACATAGGGAAATGCTTATCGCGTGTGTTAGTTAGTGTTTGTAAGCGTGGACTCAAAGCTAGTTTCTGATCTAGCTGCAGTAGGAAGCTGCCAGAGTCTGGTGCTCTCTGAATATCACTTTGATGACAAGACCACTACAGCAGCACCGCCCCTCTCACACTGTGGGGACATGGAGATTGATCACCTGCCATGTGTCTTTGCCCCTATAATTAAAGTGTGTTTTCCTGTGTGTGTGTGTGTGTGTATGGCCCTGCCCACCCTTAATGATGGCAGGGTCACTCCTGTTTCACTGAGCTGGTTGGAGAAAAAAAAGAAGAAAAGGAAACGGGAAGTAATTACTTTGAAAACTGGAGGTTGCGCTCCTGGCTCATTTACCTTAATCGAATTTCGATATCTGCCTCTCATTAGACTTGACCCCTCTGACCAGTGGGACTAGCTAACCGCTGACTAACCTATAACTACAGAGGGCTAATCAAAAGGGTCAGCTATCCATCTGCGTCCAAGCTGGCGATCATAAAGCAGCTAGGCTGACGGCTTTTAAATAAAAGCAGATGGAAGACCAAATCACTTAAAAGTATATTTGGCCAGAGTGGATTTGGTGTGCATGTGTTTAGGGTTTTGGCTACAAGTAAATGATCAATTATCGATTTTTGAAGTACACTCCTTTCCTCTATTAACATTTAGACTGATTGAATCAAACATAAGAAAATGTACTTTAAATATAGCTAGGGTAAACCAAAAGTTGTTCTTAAAACCCCGAAAATATAGTGATACACACATTAATGCTGGAGCAGACATAATGCTGTGTACACTTTATACTGTTCACAGCATAATTACAAGCAGAGATATCCAGGACTTTTAACAGATAAGACATCTCTCACTTGGCTACAAAATACAACAGAAGTGTCAAGAAACATCACTGGAAGTTACACAAAAATAATATCATCATAATCACACTAACAGAATCAATTTGGCGAATGTATTCGTCTTATGCGATAGTATAACTTAACTATTGGACTGTTGGTCGGACAAAATAACCAATTTAAAGATGGCACCCAGGTCTTAAGGGAACTGTGATGGGCATTTTGGGTTATTTTCTGACATTTTATAGACTAAATGATTCATTTATTAATCAAGAAAATAACTGGCAGATTAATCAATGAAAATAATAGTTGGTTACAGCCCTAACAACAACAAAAGTAGCTAATTTAAGCTGTTTATAGGGTGTGACTTCAAAGTTAGCAGTGTGTGAATACCCCTAAGTCAGAATAACAGGAGCTTTTCTGCCCACATTGTTTGGATACAGCCTAAATCCATCACCCTCTACACCTTACAAAGGTTCAGTACCGGCTACGTCCACACTGCTGTAATCTCTGTTACAATCACAATGCTTGTCCCAACCTGACCACTCTAATTCCTCCTGCTGCTGGGTCAGAGGTAAAGGTAAGCCCGTTAGCTGGAACCTTTTAAGTGCAGCCAAAGTGAAATCAGAGAAACAGCATAATCTGATCTCAGCCTGGACCGTGTTACTGTATATCAGATGTTCTTTGACTCTGAGGAGAAGGGAATCAGAGCACAGCTGCTGTTATGAACTGCACGCAGCGTGCCGACAGGTCATGGTTAACCAACAATCAGAGACATTACACCAGTGAAGACCATATTTACAGCATCATTGCAAACTTAAATAAAAACATAGCAAACCACTGGGGACAGGGGCAAGTCTGCACAAGTGAGGAGGACATGGGACGCTAGTTTGTATTCAGTCCGAGTGTTCAAATGCCACAGACAGGAGGGAGAAAATGGCTGCAGATTAATACACTAAGCTACTCCCTTTTCCCCTTTTCACCCCTATTTCTCTGCTAAATCTATTACCCTTTCCCCGGTTATCCTTGACATGCAACACTTCAGCTGAGGCGCAGAAAGCTGAAATAAACCCGTAAGCTTAATGTAGCACGCTTAAATAGTAGATACGTCTGTACTGGAGTGTCGGCCCTCCTCTATGCGTGCAGTTTTGCCCCTGGCCTCGGGTCAAATGAAGTAAGAAAAGGGGGTATACACACAGTGAGAGGCAGATTGGGAAGTCCACGTACCCCGATGATCGCATTCAGCTCAGTCATCGTGACCTGCTTGGCCCGTTCAACAGCCTGAGCCACCTGCTGTTGATGCTGCAGGACACAAAAACACAGATTAGATTCTAATGACGAATGCATCAGCACATATCCAGGCTACAGCGACAGTTAGGGTAAGTCTGCCTTATCATGAGAAATGAACAAAAAACTGTTCAACTGAAATCTTTTGCCAGGAGATCTTGATAAGGGTTTTAAAGTTCCTTGCCCGTTTAGCTTCACATTGCAGAGCAGCACTCTTGAGTGACGACGTGGTTCAAATAGATCACTTGTCTTTATTTAATTTATAAATGCAAAGCATTATTTCGTGGGGTTGTGCTGCTAAAATCGCTATTTCAATTACCTTTTCATGGTTAACATAACTGCTTAAAAAGGGTCTCTGCACAATATCCAGCCTCACAATTTCCTGTACAGTTACTGTTGAAAACATGCTGGAGTGACACTCACCTCTTGTGATAAGAACGGCATGATCTGAGCCAGAATTGCATTGAGACGTTTGGCAATCTCAGTCTGTCGGAGAAGAGAGAGAAAATGATAGAGTGAGTGTCTTTTTGTATACCACATGCTACAGGCAACACTATGATCAAGCACTTTAACTACCTTTAAAACAAAACGGTGTGCTTTTGTGGACACACACACACACACACACAAATGTTTGCAGCGTCCATCCGGACAGACCCTGTATTTCTTAACTAAATTGGGACCGCCTTAGAACAAATGTGCTTCCCCCTCTCTCCTGCCTCCATTAGACTCGGGCCTTATTTCATTATGAGGCTGAAATATGCTAATAACATCTGGCTGGAGAGACCGTAATGAGGTCCATACTTCATAATTACGGCCCATGGAGAAGGGTGGGGCAGACTGAGGCAGACTGGTTAACTCTCTGGTCCTATCTATCAGAGGCATCTTCGGTATCGACCACAGAATATTAGCTGGGAGAGTAAGATGATACTGCAGGACTCGACGCACATAGAGCACTTTACAGCGCTACATTTGGACAAATGGATATGCTGCGCTGCCCACCTACCGCACTCCAATGTCCCAAGACATTTTGCCCAAACCCCATTTCCTTTTTTAAAATCTGTACTTTCCACACAAAGAGGGGAAGGAGAGGAGCACAAATGTAGAAAGAATAAAGGAGAAGGGGGGGGGGGGGGAATGGAAAGTCTGATTTGACACTAAAGTAATGTAGTTTGACTGAACCGGGGGAGGTGAACTAATTGATTCTGAGAGATTATGGGTGGAGGCCCAGCAGGTGTGTGGGGAGGGGGGTGGAGAAGAGGTCCTTCCCGCCGTTTTATACGCTGCTGCATTCCACTCATTTTCTCCGTTAACCTCGTTTGACTGTGAAAGGGTGAGGGAGGAGAGGGGAGGAGAGAGGAAGAAAGTGGAAAGGGGGGACAGGAGGTGCCGGTGGCCTTTTTGCACAGCTCTGTGTCACCCTTTTCATTTAGGAGGAGGGTAGACAGGAGAAGGAGGACAGACCTTTGGCTGGCCTGTCAGGAATTATCTCACAACCTCCTGCGTGACCTTCGATGCACTGTGCTTTCTCTCCATCCAGACTCCTCCCCCCCTCCTCCAAACACTCCTTCACACCCCTCCCTACTAATCCTCACTACTCTCCTCTGTGTCCTCCCTCCTTTTCCTCTATCATCCCCTCCTCCCCCCCTCCCCTCTTCTGTTGCTGGGGCAACGCTATCCGGCACGGCTGATCGTTATGTAAATTGGGCCGGGGCCCTGACCAGAACAGCCTGTAAAATCATATTAGGCACAGCAAAGAGGCAGGTCATTAAATTGAATTTTCGGCCTGTCGATCTGATCGGCACGGGAAATTAATGAGGGATAACTGGGAGTGGGGAGGGGACTGTACTGGGGGGGGGCTGACAAGAGAAAAAGGAAGCTCTATGGAGACTCATAAACCATCATCATTAGCGGGGGCTGGATACAATGACACACAGTAGGATTAGAGTGTTTCAGTATCACACCACTTCTCTGGAAATGGCTGCAAGGGGAGCAACATGGGGCTTGTAGAAAACAGCGGTATGCTGATACACTCGGCTATTAGAGCAACAACATTACAAACCCTCACCACAAACTGGTTCCCAAAGAAAGGCATCCATTTGTTCATAGAGAATCACCACTCCAGAGCCTCCACTGGAAGCCAAAAACATTCATGGAATTCAGGCGCACTGCTTTGTTCGTTGCATTGTTTAGTGTGATGCGCTAAAAAAAAAAAAAACAACAACACAGGTTTCTGTGTGCGAGGTTCATTCTGAAATGCCAGCTGGGGCCTCAGATGCTTTGAGAGCTGAGATCATGTTGAGCTTTTTTTTTTTTTTTTATAGGTTAAATGTTCCCGAACCTTTAACTTCCTCTGAAATTTACCCCAGAGTCAAAATATTACTTTGGAGCCAGGAAATAAAACAATGGAACAGACTTCCTTTGCATCCATTTTTGCTTTTCTTTTTGTGCATTTTACAGCTACACTCAGAGAATGCGAGGGCATGACTCTCGCATCAACTGTGAAAGCGGTCAATTGAATCACTGCCTTTATCAGCTCCATCTTGTCCTTCCTTCTTGGATTGAGTCACTCCACTCTGTTCAGACAGAGTTCACACATGTTAGGGAAGGCAAACGGGGGCACACGGCTTATTTACACGACTTTTTCACAGCCATTTGGCAGAGAAAAAAATAATAAATAATACTCGCAACACATCAAATCCAATGACACGCGGCACTCTTACATTACTCCCCCGCTTCACTTCGGAGGAACTATTTCCCACAGTGCGTTCAGTGGCAGAGACCGGCACTGGAAAGAGTTTATCATCACTTAAAGCCACTGAAAACAGAAGCCTTTGAGCCAGCTGAAGCGCCAAAATTACAGGTACTCAGGGTTGTCTAGTAGCACCAGAGCTTGGAGAGGCTCTCTCTCTCCATTGCATCCCTCCGTCAATGGTGCATTGAAAGCCATTTGGGTGTTTGTCACTTCAGGCATTAGCCCCCCCAAGTGGAGAGCAGAGTCTCTGACGAGGATTCAATTGGCGAAGTAACCAAGTGGCATATGATGTTGGGGGGAGAGGAGGGGGGGAGGGCAGTTTGGGAATTATCTTCTCAGCCAGCGCAGAGGAAGAAAGAGGCACTTAGAGGTATCGTGTTCATTACAAATGCATGAAAAATATTTTGCATGTCATTCTATTTTGAGCTCATTCACACACAACTGAAGTGACGTCCTTTTCTGACAGGAGAAGCATATGGAAATGAGTTGTTTTCCAAAAGATCACACCTGATTTCAAATCATGTGAACAATATCTTTTACAGATTTTATTCTGAATTATTCACTTTATACATGTACAGACAACTTCTTTTCTTCCATTTAACCACATCAAGACTCACAACTGGTTGAGTACACACAGACACACACACAAAGACACTAATTGTGTAACACTGTTCTACCAGCCCTTCTAGCCTGCCTATCAAAATAAAGCATGTCTCACAGCCTACAATAACCTCGTCAAGCTCCCTTGAGAGAGAGTGTGTGTGTTCTCGTAGTCAGTTTGTTTTGGCTTAGAGACAGGTCGGCCATCATCACCTTGGCAAACAATTCCAGGAATCCTCTATAAATTATTCATTTGCACAAGATCTTTCCCCCCCCGCTCCTTCTTGCATGCTCTTCCTCCATCCAGGAAACTGACACGACACTCCTCCTCGCACTTTCACCACTTCCCTCATTCACTCAACAAGTGAGGAAAAGGACATATGCATGCTACACAAAATGGCTACCTACGGTGCAACAAAAGTCTGTGCCCAAACACAATGATATGGAATAGAAACCGTTGATCCCTTTTGCTTTCAATTTACCAAAAGAGAGAACTGAAATCAAAATGTAGGTGTGCGTACAAGAGATAAACATGGACCACAACAGAGAACAGACGTAGTGGAAAAAAAACAAGCAACCCCCACCAAACCCACACCACAAAGTCAGCAGGGCATGTTGCTGAGGCAGCCTAATGAGCTGTGCTAATTAAAATCACTTATTGACAGCAAGCGAGGGTGATTACCTCCACCCTGCACTCTTTGCCATCATAAGAGACACTGTCAAAACAAATTACCCCCCCAGCAACCGCACAGATCCCTTCGCTAGCAACCATCCAGCTCAGCATCAGCGTAGGGGAAGCTGTGCGTCTGTTGGAACTTCAATTACAGTGTGTCTGTGCGTGTGTGTAAAGACACGACCACTGTTACCATGTAAGGGATATGAGTAGTTATTTATATGCGCATACGTGTGAGGTTTGTGCCCGTTCCCCTGCTTTTTTTCAATCCAGAGATAACACAACGTGAGATTTTCTCATGTCTTATTTCACACTGCAATAAATCTCCTACACAAGCCAAGTAATGTGCCTCCCTGCATCCAATAATCCAGCCTCCCCCCCCTCCCAATAACAGGGACCGCTAAGAGCTGCCTGTTTAGCTCTCGCTGATGTCATCACAAACACTCATTTCACCGGGGAGGGGAGAAGGGAGAGATGGGAGGGAGGTGGCAGGAATCATGCATTATTCAGAGTGCTCCGTCGACTCCACCGGGCTTATTGATAAACAAAAGGAGACGCACAGGAGAGGACCAGTCGATTAACCCATTTACCCTGAAGCCTCTCACTCCTTTCCTGTCTCCATCCCCCTTTGTTTTGTCCACTGCCACCAGCATCCACCCACAACAACCAGCTCCACCCCCACCCTGCAACCTCCTTGTTGGTGATAAGTGCATGACAGACAACGCAGAAGAACAGGGGTGGGGGTTGGCTCTAACAGCTAGTTAGCACACACACACACACGCACCTACAAAAAAACGTCTACACCTGATGAATTGTGCAGTGTGCTGCTGCTCCAACTGGGCTCCCCTCCCACTGATGCCATTAACCTTCTGGATCTGAGGGCCATGAAGCCTCCGCCCCACCTCTCTTTCTCCCCCTCTGACAGACTCCCACACTCATACATCATATCACACAGCTAATGACACAGGGGCTATCATTCACATCACATCGCTGGGGTAGGGGTACAGACGGAGGAGCGGGAAGCAAAGGAAAGACATAAGGGCACGAGGAGGAGGTTGAAAAGGAGAATGGAGGCAAAAGGTGACCGAGGGGAAACGGAAGGCAAGACAGAACCAGAGAAAATGGAAATGTAAGCGTAGACAGATAAAAAGAGGGGCATCTCGAGATCACGGTAATCTTTATTCCTCTTTTCAAGTGAACTGAATAAAAGATTATGCAAATGTCTGTTAATAGAAAAGAAAATGTGGGTTTCACACGGCTGACTACAAGGCCTCAGGTCAGCTCTTTAGCTAGACAGAGTTGTTTACAGGTGTAATCTGACTTTTATAGAGGATCCAGGACTACGGTGCCTGCAGTAGCAGATGTCTTATCCTAACCGCACCAGAAGTTAGCCAGCCAGACGCCATGCACACTGCTTATCAAGTGGACACGCTGAATCACTTCACATGAAGTGCTCAAATTCACACCTCGAGACTTTATGAAAGAACTTATACCTGCTGTCTGGTTCAAAGCAAACCGTGGGCTGCAACTAACTACTATTGTCGTCATCAGAGTTATTTCTCGATTTGTTATTGATTGTTTCATCCATAAATGTCACCAAAAGTCCCAGAGCCAACAGAACATCCCGACAGAGCTCGTTTTTGTCCAACTATAACCGGCCAAAAGACTAAGATATTCAATTCACAATGACAAAATAATAAAAACACAGAATAGCAGCAAATCTTTGAGTGAATTAATGTCCATTTGTCCCTCTATTAATTGTTTCAGCACTACAAAAGAAAGAGACACTCAGTGAGAACACATATTTCGATAAACACCATGATGGTTGAGTTCTACAAACGCTAAACATCACCAAAGATCAACTGAAAACAAACCAACAAAGAAGCCTGATATGAACCGCAGCCCTTATCTCTAGGGCTAAGATGATTTTAACATATCTGCCTGCCTGCCCCCCCCCCTCATTCCCTTCATGCCTCCACACTACAGAAATGGCTTCTTGGGTGGTGTAGAGGAAGCTGCAGATATTTTGCCCTACTCATCTGTAACAGTCTTTCCACTGCAGCATGATGCCCAGCGCCGGGTGGCAGCTGAACTAATGAGCTTTTAGCTCGGCTGGCACTGGGGAGGCAGACACCGAATAATGCATGCGCGCACACGCACACACACACACACACACACACACCCTCTCAGACAGTCTGCCAAATACTTCACTTTAATCTTATCAAACCATCCCCATCAGGCAACGTGCCCTTCGTGTTGTTTAGCCTGTCAGCATTTTTACTACAGGAAGCCAGCATGTGTATGCCTCTTAAAAGTCATTTAAGGATGAGGGTAGAGAGTACGGGCAGGTGTAAGAGTGTGTGTGTGTGTGTGTGTGTGTGTGTGTGTATTCTATAATCACTAGGGGGGAAAAAAACAGCAATGTTTTGGCTGTACACAGACCATCCCTGATATGGCTACATACCTGTTTGTGCATCTCAATGTTGAGCCCATAGGACATCTCATAGTACTGTAAAATAGAGAGGAGAGAAAACATTAATACACAATAACGCTGCCCTAAAAACTTTGTTTCAAACATCTTTCACTGACGCATTTACTTTGAGTCCAGACATGATCCTCATTGTGTACAACACAATAAGTAACCCAAGTTACTTGTGACTTGTCTCTAATGAGGAACAGACTATTTGTTAGTGCAACAAGGCAGTAAAAAAAAAAAAATGGTGTTTGAATGGTATGACATTTTTATCCTTCCTCTAAAGTACCCAAACAATAAAATAGACAGGTTGAATACTTGTTGCAGCACAAGGGGTGAGCTATTTGAAAACACACTGACATAAACCAAAGGAGGTTGACAACTTCATGTTCTATGAGAAACCACAGCCGACAGACGAGTGGCTGCTCTTCTCATTCACTTCTATGGGCACAGCCAGTCTGTGGCTTCAAAAACACAGGAGAACGCCAATACTATCACTGAAAACCACATTATCTGCTGATGATTGCCAAACGATTGTTAGCCCACCAACAGATAGAAACTAAAGCAGAGTAGTTTGTCCGTCTTGTTTATCAAGCTACTCCCACCACCTTCTGGTTCCTCACATGGAAAATAATATTTAACAAACGTACTGCTGCGTTTAGTTGGAGTCGTTCCTTTCAAGTACAAACAAGATAAGCACGCGCATACACAAACTAAGAGTGAGGTTTAAGTTACAACATACTCGGATAAAGATTGTTCTTTTTCCACGGACACAATGCAGCGGTACAAAGAACCTTCGAGTTGGGTCGTCTTTGCAGAGGCACGTATTTTTCTTTTGTATCATTTGATCACCAGGGAGCTCCGAACTGTAATGTAATGTTTTAGTTGCAGTATTAGAAGAGTTTTAAAGTCCCCCTCTTCACAGCTCTTCGATAGGAATCAAGCATCGTTCTTAGCTTTCAAGTAGGGTTTCCAGGAAATGGTTTAAGTGCTGGCACACAACAGCAAAGTAGGGCCTCGGGATTACTGGTTACTGACTTTTAATTGAACTGTAATGATATTAGGGCTGCAACTATTACGTTATCACTGATTCACCCGCTGACCCTTTTTTCATTTAACCGATTACTCGTTTGGTCAAAAATAGAGAGAAAATGGGCATCAAATTTTCCCAAAACCCAATACGACGTCTTCAAATGTCTTCTTTTGTTTGACCAACAGTCCAAAATTATTCAGTTTACTTTCCAACTACTAAGAAAAGCTGCAACTTCCCACATTTGAGAAGCTGGAACCAGTAAATGTTTGACATTACTGATTTAAAAATGACCCAAGCAGACTTTAAAAAAAAAAAAAAAAAAAAAAAAAAAAGTCTTAAAATAATGGCCGATTAGCTTTTGGTTGATTAAGATCACCTCGTCATCTTAACAATTAGCGATTCAACAGGTTTTTTTGAGTTACACAAGTACAGAGTTTTGTGTTGTTAAATGGTTAAACAGTGGAACATGTGTAGTTCATTGCACTGAACAATTTGATTATCCTATCTGAGGTGAGATTTTGCATTTATTTCCCATATGGTGATATCAGTAGTGGAAAAACACTCATATATTTTGTGATGTTGATCTCAATGAAAATTCCTCGTCTCCACAAGAAGTCTATTATCTTTACAGTTGTTCAGAGATGAGAAACCCCTGGGTGTGTTTGAAGTGTCTGAATCACCCCATCGTTCAATTTGGCTGTTAAGAAGTAAAAATAATAATAATACAGGAAACCCTCTAATTTATGCACAAAGCCAGCAGACCAGTCATTAACCCCCATGTGGGTCATGCTGGGTGTGTTAGGGAGGGGTGGTGGAGGGTCATAAAGAGGACCCCCAGGCCATAGAGGAAGGTCGTCACACCTCACAATCAATAGTTGGACATTTGACCCCTGCTAGAGCTTCAACAACCCCCTCCACACATCCCACCTGCACCTTCTTATCCAATGAAAACAGAAAACACGGGGCGTGAGTCAATAATACCAAGCTACAGCAAATGCTAACATGGCCTTTGCAAAGCACCAGGGCTGCACCACCTGTGACTGTTCACCTGAGGCTAAAGGGAGGATACGCCATTAAATCAGACTCATAGCTGTACGACGACTGCTCTTACCATGACATAGTGACGCTGCATCTCTGTCTTTTCATTGGCCAGTTTATCGTACTCCACTTTAAGACTTCAGGAAGAGAAGAGAGAAACAAAATGATTATTTTTTTGTACGTTTGACATTCATTAAAAGCACATTCTTGATTTGGAGTATATATATATATATATATATATATATATAAAATTCAGGACAGATAAATTTATGAGTGCAACATCGGTGTAGACATGCATGAAGCAACAAAATTGGAACAAGACAGAAGCTTCCTCTTCCGTTTATTTCCAGGAAGCGAACGCTGTTTACAGTCGGCCAGTCATTACCTGTGGTACTGAGCCTGCAGGAACTGAAATTCGTCTTTGATCCTATCACAGGACTCTGCCACGGTGAACTTGAAGCCAGGCTGCCCTGGCTGGTGAGGTGCCTGAAAAGTGCAAGGTAGGAGATACCACAGGTGTAAATAACACCATCACAGTCAAGATAAATAGGCTCGTCCACCTCCTCCTCTTTCTTAGTGAACTGGGTTTTTTGTTTTTTCTCTCTTTTGATGGTTTGTTATCACATTCCCCCTGACTGGCGGAGGAAAGAGCCGCTTTCACACAACAACATCTGCTTAGACAGAAGTGGGTCGCTTCATTTGTCCTTAATATAATGTTACACGGTAGGCAGAGGATGATGAGAGAGGGATGAAGAAAACAATAAAGATGTGTGGTTTTTTTCAGTGTGTGCTGCACAGAAAGCTAAATTCACATTCAAATTCAGTGTAAAAATGTAACTAACAAACTGCACTAAGAAATGAAGTCGCATTACAGCACGAGCTTGATGATCTACTTTCCTGGGTTCAACCTAAAAAAGCTCTGATCGGCTCGCCAATGAACACGAGCTGCTAGTGTCTCTCCTGCCAGAGAGAAGCAGCTCAGCGGCACCGATGCAGACCATAAATAGTAAGGTGTGGATCAGCAGCTCCACTCTGACGAGCTAATTAGGCTATACTTTGAAGGGCGCGTGCAATTTGCATCAATTTACAAAATAGTGACAAAGAGAGCTACTTACCGGATGCCGGCCTTGTGGATACATGTCGCGTCCTTTACACGAGTGAATTCGCTGTTTTTCCCTCTCCTTTTCCTCCTTCCTTAATCCCAGTGAAGGTGCGGTAGATCACCGCCACCCCCTCCCCTGTATACGCAGGATGGCGGCGGACAAAGCCCTGTTCTCGGCTGCGAGGCGCACACTCAAGAGCCCGACCACTGGACCTCTCCTTTGTACCTATAGACAAACAGACAACGAGGTACAGCTGAGGAGCTGAATCACTTTCGCAGCAAGCGACCGTATAGAGAGTTAAAGCTTTATTATGAACTTAAGCGGACTGATTGTCTGTAATCTACTACTTGACAAAATGAGAATAAAATGTGTTTTGTAATAATCATTGAGGCATTATTTTAAATTGATATATTCCCCATTCTTTGACAAAAAAATAGAAATGTGTCGCTTTGATTTGCATGACACACAGTGGAGGAAAAACACGGACACCAGAAAAAATGTGTTTGATCCGATGTATCAAAATAAATCCCAAAGTTGATACTTTTGATCTCAACATCAAGATGCTTTGTAAATGTAACGAGTTGACTTCCACAAAGGGAACACACACACACACACACACACACGCGCGCACACACACACACACACACACACAACGGGGTTGTTTTGGTGGTCCGGGGGAGAAACAAAATGAGAAAACAAGGAGCTGCTGCTTTGAAAGTCGGCTGCCATGAAGCACCACCCGTCTTGTTAGCGGCTCTCCTCATGTCGCCCTTTTTTTTTTTTTACCTTTGTCTGGGCGGATTCCTCCCCTCTCTCTTCTTCACAGGTAACAAAAACAAGAATAGTATCCAGACACAAAAAGCTTAATATCCGTCACTTGTAACCGTCACCACAGACTGATACGTGCAGGAAATGTGCGTCGCCGTGCGTATTTCTTCCTCTTTGCCCCTTGAGAGTCCTTTAAAACCCCGGTGATTCCGACGCGGAGAGCGTCTCTCCGTCCGGTCGGACGTCGGAAACCCCTCGATCGGGACTAGTTGTTGACGGCATGCAAACTCAAAGAATATTACAATCCAGTTAGCGAGAGGACACGAGTCTTCCAGTAAGTCCAAATTTTTTTTTTAGTGTGGCGAACAAACGGGTTTACTTCTTGTGAAAAATGTCGGCCGTTGTGAAATATACCACGAGCTCACTGGTGGGTATACCCAGTTCCTACCACACACAGACTGTGCACTGACACGAGGAACCGACTGTCGAGAGAGGGCCCTGCGCTGACCAATGGGGGTTCTCCGAAGGAGTTTAGCTCCGGTGACCAATCACAGCCCGGTGTCCCCCACGTGGGGGTGTTCAGCGCACGGGCGTTCTGATAGGGCTGCGATGTGTGACCTCACATGTTCGCCATTTTGAATTTGTAGTGACATTCGGTGCGTTCAACGACTTGTTCAAAACAAAAGGCAATGATTTATATATTAGCGCGTTTGAATCTGTGTCTTCCGTGTTTTTACATTCTGAGTGTTTACCTGCCAGTTGTATCATTAAACATATGTTGATTCGGAGACTATATGTGCCGGTGTAAACAGGAAATACCCCCACTAACCAAATACAGAATGTATCCTCTTAAAAAAACAGGAGCTCATAGAATTTAATTCAAGAACCAAAATGTGTCGAAGATGTGGATACCGCTTAATCTACAGCAGTGTACTTTGAGTGACTTCAATTGATCGACCTATTTCTAACGAGACCTCAAGCAGCTACAAGCTTCCCTATCAGCAGCACTAGGGAAGCTACAACACGTCTGCGCGTGAGGAATATCAGCCTATCAAGCGTAGCTCACAGTGCCCGGCCCCCACGTGGGTCCCTCTTCCTACCTCGTCACTGCTTTCTAAGCCAATGGTGTCGCGGCTCTCTTCCTGCGCGGCTCACGATTGGCTCAGGGGTGGAAAAGCTGTCAGTCAGGAGGCCGGGTTGTCAATTAAACCCACGTTGGGTACGGCGCTGACAAATGCCTGTGCTACTCTCCCTCCTGCCTGCGAATAGTGCCTGGAATGGCTGCTTAATTAGCTTTGAATGGCTTTTCCTTTCAGCTCAAACAATCTGTCACTACCATGTGGTAAAAAGAGCCTTGCATAAAACAAAAACAGGACAAAAAAAAAAGCCAGTAGGGGCTAAATATCAGTTTGATTCCCCCCCCCCCCCCCTCTCTTCAACCCCTCCTCCATGAAAACATTTGCTGCAAAACAAAGCTTTTACCTCAAACATGGGCTCGTGTTCACTCGTCGGTTTCTGCACATATTGTCTTCTAAAATTATTTTTAAAAGTGTAATCTTTTGATACGCTTGTGTTGACGTCAACAGGGAAACTTCTACTAAAGTCTGTGAAGAATGTGTTGCAAAATGTTGAATGAATAGTTCCCTGTGACACAATCCAAAAGAAATAAATCGGGTATTAGAAAGTGTGAATCATTTGTGAATCTAAGTTTGCAGTACCTAACTTACGCAAACAATAACAATGAAAACTGTGTCTAAGATAATTATTTAATTAAAGCAAGGTATTTCTAAAATGCAGATTGAATAGAACTACTCTGGGACTCGCTGTAAACATGAGACCTCAACTAAATTTAAAATTAAAAAAGTGCCCAAAGCTTAGAAGTCCACCAAATTTTTGAACATGACAGCATACTGCGAGCCTTAGCTGTTGCTAAGCAACAAATGCATCCCCTCCTGCAGATGCTCTGACACGAGTTTGGGATATAATAACTCATAAACGGAGGGCATGTCAGTGAGCTATACACTCTCACTGGGATACTTTAAAGAACGTTTTTTTTTTTTTTTTTAAAACAAAGCCTCCCTAATGATAGTTTATCTTCCTGGTTGTAATCATCGGCCTTTTTAGCAGGAACAGACCGTAAAACAGTTTGAGCGACAAACTTTTTACACTTCTCAAAATCAAAGCTTCCTGAGGGAACCTTATTAGTTCTCTCAGCTGTTCGTGACAAGCGCTGATTTGGAATAACGAACAGCAGCATGTTCTTGATTCTCAAAACATATATTCACTTGGTAACTTTACTTGTCATTATATATTTATATTAATTTATTCTTATTATGTATAGTTTAAAACATAAATGTCACCACGTGATGCCCAGCACCAGATAATAGCTTGAAGATCATTGTATCTGTTAAAAAGGTCACTTCATTTACAATTTCTTGGAGTGAAATAGTAAAATGCGCGACTTTGTAAAGTGACAACAAATAGCCATTTTTTAAAAGTTTGATCCAGCCGGTGCTCGGTTTTGGCTCGATTGTTTTCAACATGGCAGCCGGGTTACAAACATTCTCATTCCACAGGTAAACAGTACTTAAATGTGATTCTGAAAACATTTGACGGGATAAATAGGCAATACAGTAACAGCATCGAGATGCATATTGAATCAGCGCTGCCTAGTTTTAACAATTTGAATTCCTCGAGCAGCGATCGTCACTGCGTTAGACACTCCTCTGCCCTGATTGGTTGTTTTTCTTGCAAATGCTTTAGAAGCAGGAGGCAGAGGAGCCTGATTTTATCACAGAATATCTGTCTCATGTACTATTATCAGGATATAGTGACGAGTTTGAGCAAATGTGACACAAAGGTATCTTATATTAAAGTTAGCAACTTCAGCTTTAACGCACGTAAAGTGTAAGTCGGTGCAGAAAGGCTTAAATATATAGATTTTACAAATAAGGCTTTAGTATGACGCAGCCTTTGCCAAAAAGATGAGGGAATTAAACAAGAAAGGTTGCAGAAAAGTTCAATATTTAATCCGAGCTATAATATGGTGATGTATTCCAACCTTTAATATGCTTGATATATTTTAATAAAAAAGTCTGAAAGGTTCATTATTGAGTTATGGAGAACATTCTGACTATTAACTCATCTTTCTGTTAAAGAAAAAATATCGCCGGAAATAATTTCCTCTCTGTCCTGCCGTTGTGTGACCTCTGACCTTGCAGACTGCATGAGTCCGGCTGCATGTGGATGTAAAATGGACCAACACAAGAACACATACGAATTCAGGCTCCATGAGCAAATTCGCTTCTCACTTTGTGCGGCCTCCGTTGTAAAGACCAGGGCCTCGTTGCCAAAAAAAAAAGCATCTTAAGGCTAAGAAGATCATAATATCCATCTTACGAACCCTCTTAAGCATAAGAGGTGTTCCTCAAAAGAATTGTAAGTGAATAGGCTCTTAGACACGGTCGTAGATTAACGAGTGCCTCCACTCAAAGGAGGTTAAGGGCATCTTAAGAACAGCCAACTTGTAGGAGGAACCAAAAACAATGTGTTCTATTAAATTTGTTACAGTTTATGTTCATTTTTAGGTCTATACTTTCATCAGGAACACCAATGACCAGGTCGTTTGCACAATCAATCTGCCAGTTTATGTTGTCATTCTCTTCCTCTTCCTCTTCTCACCTGGCTGAAATGTCACTTTCCTTTTTCCCAGTTCTGTATATTCTCTATTCATACGAGTGTGTTTGTCACACACACAGCGAGTCTAATGCAGAAATGATGACAGAATGACATTCACAAATCACAATAGATGGCGTGCTTATTTCGTGAAAAGTACAGGAACCATCACTGTCTTGCTCTAGGTTTAACATGAGTTAAAGCGTAACACTTTCCTCGAGCAGCAGCTAAATCAAAGTTTACTTTGTTGAACTGACATCCACCTTGTGACATGAATCCTAAAGCACAGCGAGCTCTGTTTTCATTCGGAACCATTACAGGTGAAAGACGTCTTGTTTTGTAATGGATGTATTTTGTAATAAATAACATGACTAGCAGACAGTTAAATGTGCCAAGTTATGTTAAAGTGTATTCAGTCTCACCTTCAGAACCAGAGACGGGCGACGTTAAGAAGTGCTTAACAGCGCACGCGTGGACTTGCTCTCAAAATTTAGGAGTGTGTCGTAGAAAACATTCATAACTATGGAGATTGATCTTTATTGCAAATCGTTTTTTGTTTCAGACGGTGGCAGTATAGCAGTTTGTTTGTGTGTATTTCCACTGCTTGCTCCAGTTTCCTCCACCACAACATGCTAGCCAGGTGTTGTTAGAGATGAAATTACCCAAATGTATGAGTGTTACGGCGTCTCTATCAGAATATGGCGACCTGCTCTCTACACACTTATTTTCTGGTATGACTGCGACCCTTGAAGTGATTACATGTCTATGTGTACCTTTACGTGGAACCAATAGTTTTAGTTTTTTTTTGCCAGACTGAAGTGCCCGAGAAGAGTGGCAATGCTAAAAAACCTCTTCCTTCACCTCAAATATGCGATGTCGCCACGTTTAAAGAGGGAGTAAATTACTAAGTATTTTACGATCACTTGTAAGTCACTTGCCAAGGCAACCCACTAATTATAATGTCACTATACACAGAAATGGCATTGAGATGGTTTTAGAAACGATTACTGTTCTATACTTTCTTCAGGTTTCAGACTCGCACCTTTCTTTCATCTGGCTTTCTGACAAGCTAAATTATTCATTGCATTTTGTATAAAAACACAAAAAAACATGCACGTCTATCTTGTCATTTTAACATAAATCAATAGAAAAAGTATAGTAGGATATCCTCTGATGTCATCAAACGAGCCACCATTGTTTACACACCGCTCAGTCAAGTAAAATCCACCAATCAGAAAATGACCAAAGTCCAAAATTAACTCATGGAAAGCTACCCGAACCGGGCCGCATTAGTTCATAAGAACAAGAGACCAGATCAGAAAGAAGAATGACAGGAAACGGCCCCACGTGCTGTGTTATGCGCCATCATATTAACGAGCAGCTGCAGGTAAAAACAGAAGCAATACATGTCATTTTCCTCTAAATGTCACAGTTCACACTCACACACATTTCCCTCCAGTGATGTTACAGAACACGTGATCAGATAGTTTGCTCACTTTGATACACACTGAATACAATTTAGACCCTTCTCAGTACAGGTCCTGGGTCAGCTCTCTGTGGGCAAGACCTGTGATGACCTCTACTTTGTACGTCAAGTATGCCGTCCAAAATCAACTGCTGGCATTTCAACATCACCTTCTATTCATCATATCTCAAGTGGGCGGGTACTGTTGATTTATGCAGCAATGCTGGTCAATTGTGCTGATACTTGTCAGTTTGCTCTGCGCCGAGGATCCTGGGATTGGTATGTGTAGGTGCAGTGTAAGGATGTGGGTTATCTGGGAACTGGCAAACACAGCGGCGGTCTCCACAGGCC